AAACTTCCGCCCTATCACCCTTGAAACCATTCCACTGAAAATATTCACATCTTGCCTACGCGATTCGATGTTTGCATTTCTCTCCGCAAACATGTACATTGAACACAGAATTCAAAAAGGGTTTCTTCCAAGACTGTCTGGAACATTCGAACATACTGCACACATGGCTTCTATCATTAACAAAGCTCGAATCAAACAGCGAGCTGTCGTCATCACATTACTAGACCTAAAGAATGCTTTCGGTGAAGTCCATCACAATCTGATCCCAGCAGTTCTTCGCTATCACCACATCCCTGAGCACATTCAAAACATTATCTGCAGCCTTTACGCTAATTTTAAAACATCTATCATAACCGATACATTTCGTACCCCTTTTATACCGGTAGGCCGCGGTGTCCTTCAGGGTGATTGCCTTAGCCCATTAACCTTCAACCTTTGCTTTAATACTTTCATTCCTTATATCTCAGATAATAAATTCAACCAGTTCGGCTTCTATACAAACTCCTTAAACCCTGTCCATTGGTTTCAGTTCGCTGACGATGCGGCAGTGGTTACTGGTCAAGAAAACGAAAATCAAATTCTCTTAAACCACTTCTCTAGATGGTGCTCTTGGGCAAACATGCATATTCGGGTTGACAAGTGCTCAACATTTGGAATTAAAAAATCATCTACTTCATCTGTTCAGTTTCTACCCAAACTTATTGTCAATAAAAACATAGTTCCCACTGTTGAAAAAGACAAATCTTTTAAATATCTTGGTAGATACTTCAACTTTCCTATGGATAATAGTGATCATATGTCAGAACTATTGGAAACTGTCAACTCGTTAATGTCCAGTATCGACAAATTGTCGTGTCATCCAAAGAACAAAATTCTGTTATACCACCGATATGTGCTATCCAAAATTTCCTGGAACCTGACCATCGCTGATTTAAGCAAGACATGGGTGACAGAGAATCTAGACAATGTTGTTTCAAGCTTTGTTAGACAATGGCTCGAGCTGCCAATAAGTGCTTCACTAAGTAGCCTCGTCATTCCAAAATCGAAGTTTGGCATCAATCTCATTCTTCCATCTACTAAGTTCTTACAATGCCAAACAGTTATCCGCAACTCTTTAAGACTGTCCCCAAACCAAGAGATTCGCTCTTTATGGAAAGACTCTAGCACTGGTACAAACATACAATATGACGTTTATCGCAACACCAAACAAGTTCTCAAATCCATCCAAAGTGAACACGAAAACCGCATTGAAAACGTTCTTACATCTCAAGGATTTATTATCTCGTGCATCTTAAAATTTGCTTCTAAGGGAACTAATCAACTTTGGTCTAGTGTCCAGCAAAAGTTACCAAAAAACATTTACAACTTTACCATCAAATATCTAAACAACACTCTTGCCACTAGGAAAAACCTCTGCAAATGGTCAATTACTCAGTCATCTGCCTGCTCTTTCTGTCTCCAATCAGAATCATTACAGCACATAGTCTCTAGCTGCAAGAATTATCTTGAACATGGTAGGTATACCTGGAGACATGATTCTGTACTTCTATATTTGGCTAAAATCCTTTCAACACCTAGAAACAGCTCACTTTACGCCGACCTGCCTTCATTTCTATCACCTTCTTTAATCACAGGCGACTCCTATCGACCAGATCTTGTCTTCGTAACTGAAGATCGAATCCTTTACATGCTAGAGCTTACTGTTGGGTTCGAAAGCAACATCGACGAAAACAGTACACGAAAAGCTAGGAAATATAGCGACCTTATCAAGGAACTGAGCCCTGCCTATAAACGTGTTACCTTTGTTAACCTTTCTATGAGTGCCCTTGGCATTCTGGGAACCTCATCTACCTCTCTCTCTGACATGCTACACCAACTTAATTTTGACTCAAATCAAACTAAATCCATCTTGATGAAACTCATAAACATTTCTATCCGCTGCACCTACTATATCTTCTGTCGTCGAAACAAACCATGGCTAAGCCCCGAACTAATTGACTTTTAAATATTGTAATGCAGATAAGCCAATTATATGATGCCTGTAAAAGCGAGTCGTATAATTGTAAATTTAAAATGTATTCAATGAAAATGAGATGTTTAAAAAAAAAATTACGTACTACATATTTTGTTGCAAAAATAAGCCATGGACAAATCCGGAATTACATCCTTTTTAACTTTAGTTGTTTTATTTTATTTTATTTTTCTCAGTTTTTCCTTTTACCTTACGATTGTTATAGTTTTTTCTTGTAAAACCAGGCTAGCCAATTGCAAATTACCTTGTAATAGTGTGATTTGTAGTTGTAGTTTAAGTTCAATTGAAAATGAAATGTTTCCATTATTATTATTATTATTGGATCTAAAAAATGGCTTCGGAGAGGTTCATCACAATCTAATCAAATCTGTTCTGGCTTATAACCACGTACCAGAAAACATCCAGTCCCTGATTTCAAGTCTCTACATAAATTTTAAAAACCTCTATCATCACAGATAAATTTGTTACTCCTGCTATTCCTGTTAAACGTGGAGTTCTTCAAGGTGATTGCCTCAGTCCCCTTCTATTTAACATGTGCTTTAACACTTTCATTCAATACATAAAGGCAGAAAAAATTCAAACAACTTGGTTTCTCTCCCCATAGCCAACCAGACTTTATGTTTACCCCAGAGCATTGGTTTCAGTTTGCAGACGATGCTGCAGTCATTACAAATGGGGAGAAAGAAAACCAGCTACTCTTAAACTGCTTTACAAGATGATGTCAATGGTCTAACATGATTATAAGAGTAGACAAATGCACAACCTTTGGTACGTATTAAAAAATTCTCAACACGCTCCCTACAATATCAGCCAAAGCTCTTCATCAATAATGAAATGGTCCCTCCTGTCAAAACTGGAGAGTCTTTTAAGTATCTTGGGCGTCACTTCGACTTTAATATGAGCAACCAAGAACATATGTCTAAGCTCAGCTCCATCTTCACAGAACTCCTAAACCAAATTGATTCTTTACCTCTTCATCCAAAGAATAAGCTGCTTCTTTATAACAGCTATCTTCTCTCACAAGTTTCGTGGCACCTCACAGTAGCCGATCTATCAAAAACCTGGATCGTCGAAAACCTTGATAATCACGTTTCTGCATTTATCCGCCGTTGGCTCGATTTACCCATAAGTGCTACTTTAAGTGGCATTATTCTGTCAAAAAACCAGTTCGGTCTTAACTTGATTCTTCCTTCTGTTAAATTCATGCAGTGTCAAACTGTTTGTCGTAATGCACTGAAATCCTCTCCCAACAAAAACATCCAATCTTTTTGGAAAAATACCAGCCAGAGCATGAACATCCAATATGATGTTTACAGGAATACTAGAGAAGTATTGAAGGCTGTTAGATCAGAACATAAAGAGCGCCTTCAAAACCATCTTGTATCTCAAGGTACCGTTCTTTCCTTCATCTTTGACCACTCTCTTCCTATAGCCTCTAAAATATGGACCACGGTTCAAAGCAACATGCCCAAGAACTTTAACAGTTTTACTATCAAATATCTTAGCAACTCCCTTGCCACGCGAAAAAACCTATGTAAATGAAACATTACTCAATCGTCCGATTGCTCTTTTTGCCATATGCCAGAAACGTTACTTCACATTGTTGCAGGCTGCAAAACATACCTCGAAGAAGGCCGTTACACATGGCGCCATAACTCTGCATTGAACTTCCTAGCACAATCTTTAAAAGCTATACCTAATTGCTCTCTTTACGCAGACCTTTCAGGTTATCTCTCACCCACTATCATAACAGGAGACTCTTTCCGTCCTGATCTACTTCTAGTCCTTTCTGACCATCGGCTATTCATACTCGAGCTTACAGTAGGATACGAAACTAACTTGGATGTTAATGCTAACCGCAAAAGAGAGAAATACTCGAATCTCATTCACAGCCTAAGCTCAGCCTATTCTTCTATCATGTTTGTTAATCTTTCTATCAGTTCCCTAGGTATCTTTGGTCTCTCTTGCTCCTCTTTCATCGACATGTGCAACGCTCTAGATATCAGCGAGAATCATCTCCGCTTCATGATCTCCAAACTATCCAACTTAACTATCCGTACTACCTATTACATTTTCTGCCGCAGAAATAAATCTTGGAATAATCCTGAACTTCTTCAGTTCTAACGATCTCTGCTACTGACGACTTCTAAAACAAACAATGACGAACATACTTTTTCCTTTTTTTTTTGTTAATTTCTTTTGTTTGTGCTTGTAATAGTCTTTTTCTTTGTAAACCCAGGCTAGCCAATTGCAAATTACCTTTGTAATAGTGAAATTTGTAATTGTAGTTTTAATTGAATTGAAAATGAAAAGTTTCCATTATTATTAATTCCAGTCACGTGTATTTCGAACTAGATTTTGATGAAAACCTCACTTTTGCTAATCATGTGAAAGAAGCAGATGTAAAAGCCCAACGGGAAATTGCAATCATATGTATGTTATCAAGACCACATCCGGTATTGTAATGTCGGCTGTGGAGGCAACTCGATTTCGTCATGATTTTTGCCTTAAGTTTAACAGAAATTAAATATGAGATTTTTTGCTTAGTTTCATTGATATTAGATAAAGAGGCCAATTTTCGTCTCACACCCTCTTCTTGAAATATTTCTTATTTCAATCCATTTATCTTTTAAAACATGCAAACTTTTGAAGACTTGTTGTTCTGTTGTTGTTGTTGTTGTTGTTGTTGTTGTTGTTGTTGTTGTTGTTGTTGTTGTTGTTGTTGTTGTTGTTATAAACTTGACGACCTCTTTGCCTTAATAAAAGATTCATCCAGATGCCACTGCTTACTAATTCTTTCTTCCACTGATACAAAATACTCAGCTTTTACATGATATCTTGATGATAATAACTGATCGAATCAGATAGTGTAACATTGATTGCTAATGTTAATGTATACTGCTTTTAGCGTGGTATTATTCACATCAAGATGTAGGAGAAGTGAAGATCGCAGGAATATTCAATGTTCATCTTAAGGGCAATCTTGGAAAAGGCTACTTCAAACGCTGTGGTATCATCGATCCTCAATACGGAATTATGTTTGTCGAAGCCATGCTATTCGCGTTAGACCGTATAAACAATGATACTTCAATACTTCATGGATTGAAACTGCGCACGCGGATTTACGATACGTGCGGGGACAAGCGGTACTTGCGCAATGTTCTAGTGTATGTGGCAAGGTACTCTCCTCAAGGCGTTGTAGGCCCCCAATATTCGGACGATGCAATAACAACCGCAACGGTTATGAACATCTTCGGTAAAAATACCATCAGCTACGCTGCAACAAGCCCGGATTTAGAAAACCGCATCCGGCATGGCTATTTTTACCGCACGGTACCATCAGATTACAACGCTGTGAAGCTTTTGGTGAGTTTGGCGTTGAAATTCAAATGGAATTACATTGCACTTATCAGTTCAGAAGGAAACTATGGTCAAAGATCATCAGATCTTTTTCGAGATTCTGCAACAAAACAAGGAATTTGCATCCCTATAGACATGACGATATCAGAGGATGCCAAAACCGGTGACTACGAATACATACTGCAGACGATTAAGAAGCAAAGCGCTATTAAGGTTGTGTATCTGTTGTTGACAGACAACCATCTAAAAATTTTCTTTGAAGTTGCTCAGAAGTTGAAAGAAGATATCGGGTATCTGCAGTTTGTCGCAAGTGACGGGTGGGGAACAAGATCTTTTGTGGCATCAGGAAAAACAGTTGCAAATGGAACAATTACTTTTCAGGTGGATCACAGCGAAGTTAGGGAATTCAGAGAATATTTTCTCAAACTCAAGCCTGCAACAAACAAAAGAAATGTTTGGTTTGAGCAGTTCTGGGAGGAAACGTTTAACTGTACGTTTAAGAACTCAACAGTCCAGAAATCCTGCACTGGTGATGAAGAACTTACGGACGGAGTAGGTTATTACAGCCAGACACCAGTCCTATCAGTTATAAATGCCATGTATGCATATGCCTATGCGTTTGAAAAAGTAATCTGGTATGAATGCCTGAAGAAAAACAAAACAGTCGATTACTGCAGCAAGAATAACGCCATGCTACAAAAGCTTACTAGTTACAGAGCAATATTATTCTATGTTCGAAATACGCGGTTCAAGGAGCCATTCAGGAACAAAATCTTTAAATTTTCAGCATCAGGGGACTACGATGAAGATTACAAAATCTACAACTTTCAAATGCCAAACAACACAACTCAAGGAATATTTAAAGAAGTAGGGAGGTGGAACAACGTTGACAACAAAACAGTGGTATTTAGAAATACTGTGCAAAACATTCCCCTTCAACCAGAGACGTGGCGCCTGAACATTGATGCTGATAGAATAGGCTGGAAATCTAACGCATTGCCAGTTTCAGTCTGTAGTAGACCATGTGATCCGGGACACGTCCAGCATTTCAGATCAGTCTGCTGCTGGACCTGTGTTGCATGTAAAAGAAATGACGTCATAAGGAACAACACTTGCCTGTCCTGTCATCTGACGGCAGCGCCAGACCCCTCCAGGAGATACTGCAACGCATTGCCTGTAAAAACAATTGCTATGTACAAACACATATCGGTAACTATTCTCTCCGTATCAATCCTCGGAATATTTGCTACGTCTGCAGTAGGGGCCTTGTTCTTGAAGAACTTCGACCGGCGCATCGTCAGAGCATCAAGCCGTGAATTATGCCTTCTAATGCTTCTAGGCATAATTTGTGCGTATGCCTCTCCAATCGCTTTCATTATCAAACCCAGTTCAATGGTCTGCAACTTACAACGAGTAATTGTTGGCATTGGTTTAACTTCGTGCTACGCGCCGCTGCTGTTGCGGACAAACAGGATTTATAGGATTTTCAAGAGTGCCAAGACCACAGCCTCTCGTCCGTCCATGATCAGCCCTCGATCTCAAATTGCCATGTCAATGGGGACCTCAGGAATCGGCATTTTGATCGGCCTCGTATCGATTCTTGGGCGTGATTCACAGATAAACACCGCATACCCAAGTCACAGGGAATTCGTCGTTCAGTATTGCGAGTTAAATGCACAGACGATGATCGTTAACTTGTCCTTTAGCTCAGCCTTAATGATTGCTACAACATGGTTTGCCTTCAAAACGAGAAACTTCCCAAAGAACTATAATGAAGCAAAGTACATTGGGTTGACAATGTACGTTACATGCCTTGTTTTGGCAGTTGTATTGCCGCTGTTCCTGTTTATAAATGACGAAGAAGGGAAATCACGTACATTGACTTTATGCTCCCTTTGTTTGATAACAGCGTCAGTCAACTTGCTTGGACTGTTTGGCAATAAAGTGAAACTGCTTCTGTCGAAAAATGCCGTCGAAATAGATACAAACATTGCGACGTTGGAAACCACAAGAACCAATATGCAAAGAATTGGAGTTACGGTCAGTTTTAATGACAAGACTGAATTTAGGGGTGAAACACGCTGTGATCGGACAACAATTACGCCAACCGCGTAACTGTGCTCGAAATTTCAGAAGAACGATACTGGGCTTAGCATCATTTTGCAATCAGTAACCATCTGTATTATAACTGAGCCCTAAAAGGACAACAAAATTAGCAAACCATAGTATTTTTCTTTCTCATCCTTAAGAAACTGCTCGAAAATCTTTGTTTTAAAGATGGGTTTGAATGATTCTTCTCTGCGATTAGGCACCAATTTTCTATTTTACAAAGATGAACAAAAGAAGTGTTTCTTTTGACTTTGTAGGTGTTCTGCTTCGTGTTGTCTCACATTAAATGTTTATTTCTTAAAAAAATATCTCTTAATGATTTGATATTTAAGGCAACTTTAAGAAACTTTTACACTGAGATTAACAAAAGAAACTGCGAGCTTATCCCGAGTTCAGTTTCTTATAAAAATGAATAACACAGTTAAACATGTCATTGGTTGTTAAGATAGAACTATAGCCTTTTAGCAAACAAGAATTGATGATATGAATGCTGTTCAACCGGCATCTTAGCTTACTTTGTACCAAAATGGTAATGAGCTAATGAGGTATAGGCAGCGATGATCACAAAAACCTTCTTCTCCTCATATATAAGAAGAGGCATATAAAAATACTACTCGGATGTAATTTGATTTTCTTTTTCATTTACGAAATACTTCACATCAATAAACTGCATCTCAAAGATCTTTATCCTGCCATCATTATTGGATAAATATGAAATTTATAAAAAGTCTAACAAGAATATGTTATAGCAATACATGAATAACCAGTAAACAAAATTACCCCAGTGACTGCAAAAAACTGAAACAACACACAAACTTACTGAAAAATCTTCAGTACAGACATCTAAGTCATTTACCAAAAAATACTTTAAAAAGGATGAAATCTTTTAGGAGTGATTTTGGAATGGCTACATTTTATTGCATTTTATCATCAAATCGAAAACCTCACTGAAAAGGACTTAATAAGCAATTCAAGTACTTCATAAAGGCATGAAAACTGTTCGAGGCTTATTTAACTCGCTTTATTAAAAACAGGAAACAGAGTTTATAAATCCTTTAGTTTGCTTTAGCAGCAATTATTGATGTTAGTTTGCTTTATTGTAATGATGTTATATAAAGTAGAGTAAGGAGAAACAGAGTTAGTTAGAGAGAAGCGTGGTGCTTGCGAAAAGCCACTGCTGTCAAACATGTAGACACTCACTCGCACACACACAAAGAACAGTCATGGATTGAAAGGCTAAGAAAGGGCTGATGACATTCAACCTGAGTGGCTTGTGAAAGCACTCGAGGTTTCGTTTCATATATATATAATTTAATGGCGTAACAGTTCTTGTGAAAGGCTGTTTAGTACCTAAGTTTCAATATTGTATAAAAGGACGTCTTAGCTTTGGATGGAATAAAAGGAATTGATTTTGTGTGTCAAAACGTGTCGTTTATTCGCTCGGTCAATCGCTCATACAACGGATGGTGTCAGAAGTTTTACAATTATGTATCAGTAGCAAATTTTACAATGGTGTCAGAGATGGGATGCACAAATTGTACGAATTGTTCGGGACTCACGGATTGTTCAAATTTTACGAGATCTTTGATTGTGCAACATGTACGAAGCGTTCGAATGGGGCTGGAAACAGACCCGAACCCAAACTTTTGAAGACTCAGCTCGGAGAAGCATTCAGCTCTTCATTTACTAAAAGCGACGTCTATATGTCATGTGAGCATACCAAGGTGAATACCCTAAAACAGCATTTGAAGAATCTGTACGTGAAGAGAGCATGTGTTTTTACGATGGAAGGCAACGAACAACTGTTCATAGAGACTATGGTTCGCATACCCTAAATACCATCCAGAGATGCATAGTCGAACCAAACAGAAGCTGGCAACTATTTCAATCACGGGACTTGTCGATTTCTATTTTACGGACACAAAATATTCATTGGACGTTTAATTAATATTTCATCAGATTCACTTTAAGAATCGAGGACGATTCATTTTCCTTGATAGGGAGGTATGTAATATAGGTACTTATTTCATTTTAGGTCAGTCTTGCGTTTATGCTGATGTCTATCTCGAGCCTTCTTATTCTGATGTCTATCTCAAGCCTAAAAAGCTTAACAACATTTATTATTTTGTCTTATTATTGAATGTGCAATGAATTTCACAAATGCAAAGTTAGATTCTAGCCGTTCTTTGGAAGTTGCCTGGCAACCTCTATTGAAGTATTGGATAACCTTCGTTTGCAATATTGGGTATTTTCTTTCAAAGCGTTATGGAGTAAGATTAGAGCCGGATACAAGAAATGACAACCGAAAGTGTAAAGGTAAACTTAAAAACAAATTGTAGGAAAGATATTGACTTCGGATGCATGAGCCATTGAATTTTTTAGGGAACTGGCAAAGCTGTGTAAATAGTAAGCGAAAATCATGCAAACGATCTAGGCAGTTGCAAGCAAAATTTGAGTGTGTGGATAAAGACAAGATGTTTTCCTCATACCAAACTGACAGTTACTTCGGTAAATGACTCTTTTGTGGAGAGATGCAGTTACAAATGGTTGGCTAGGAAAGTAATCAGTAGCATCTCAATATAAACTACTCATGATAAGAGATAACGTTGTAACAACTCTACACATAGCTGTATCCATCTCAAGGTCACGGGAACAAAGCAAAGCAAGACGATATGGCCAAAATGATAATAAAGTTGCTTATACTCGTTCTTTCTACAGTTTTCAGTTCAGGTAAGGGAATTATCTGTTTAACGTAAACAACGAAATCTTTAGTAGCTTCAAAAAGGACTTGTTCTTTATATGTTGCAGTCAAGGGAAGTCCTGAAAATCCTGGATCTAAATTTTCCGATAAATATTGCAGAGAATTCTGGCCCACTTCTAAAGCTTTTTAACTTGATCTGCACCGTTCCAGCCACAGAAATCTCTCTTTGTCCAACACAAAACGGATTTCCTGAAAGAAATATTTTATTAAGATTGCCTATATTTACAGCTTTTGCCAATCGTGAAACCTCGGTAAAAGGAGCAGAACTTTTTTATGATAAGGGTAGAAAGAGGACAGATGATAACGATAAAGAATTTTTAGCATGTTTTAAATGGGGAAAATAATCATTCATACATCCAGAATTCTGCAATATGTTGAAACAAAACTTTGTCTCACAGAACTAGATTTCTAGAAGTTGTATTTCTAGTCTATATTGCTAGTATCTTTGTCAATGGTAGAATCCTTGGCAAATGTCTTTGAAAACTAACTCTACTCAGTTTCAAAGGCAGATTCAGCCATCCTCCTGTCCCTCCAGGAACAATGTTTGTGTACCATAGGAAAACGAAGAAGGTTACGGAGTACACAAAAAATACAGAGAGATATTGAAAACTCAAACATTTTGAAATCAAATACACCTGTCTTAAAGATATCATTTGTAAAAGATCTGATTGGCTCTCTATGTAAGTGAATTCTATTCTTTTGCTTGCACAACAGCAAAGCTTACTGTACGCACAGAGCGTTTGAATAAGTGACTGCATTCAGTGTTTTTCTAACTCTGCTTTTATGGTATCTAAGTTCCAGCCATAGAGA